TTTTTCCCCCCCCCCCCCCCCCCCCCCTTTATTATATCAAAAAATCAAACACAATTTTGTGCAAAATCCGAAGGTTCAAAATAAGAAACAACAATGAAAAAAGATTTTCAATATGTCTGATGAAAAATGAGACTTATTTTAGCGAACATGCTATTGCCTCAATGCCAAGGGAAAAGCGCTCGTCATTAGAGAAATGAATTGCTCAGCTGTTTATAAGCAAAAAGCTCTGGGGGAATTTCTCAAGGCCCAAACCACAAAGCATTGCAGGGTTACACAAACATATGTTGCAGGTGTTTCAGGGTAGACAGGTGGGAAAACCTCAGCTACTGAAAAATACTCCACTTAATAGATTGTATCTGAAACTAGATAACCTAAATGCAACAGAGAAAAAACAAATAAAACAGCAGCAGTGAATGACACATACACGCAGCAATAGGCTTACCAAAATAATCATCTCACTAGTGCCAAACGGGATTTTTTAAAACTAGGCTTTTTTAATATCTTAAACAAATGCTGCCAAACATATATCTTTTTTTCTAAACTAATAATATTTTAAGCCTAAACCAAAGAACAGGATGAACTAAACATATATAAAAAAATCAGAAGGATAATGATGCAGTGTTCAAACAATTATTTTTAAGGAGCCAGTTTGCTCCTTTTTCCCCTCTTTAGCTGACAGGACGATACTAGTTTTTTTTCATAATTCTCGTACAGCCAAAGATATTTTTTGCATTAAAATTCTGTTTTTTTTCCTTTCATTTATTTCTAATGAAAGTTAGAGGAGCATATGACCCATATTCAGTGATGACTGGGAGGCCAGGAAAGGTTTACCTTTTCCTTCTAAATCACCTATGCTTCTTTCTTCAATAAAGATGATACAAACAATGCAAAAATCTGGACTGTGAACAGAGCAGAAATATAACACCTGAGATGCGGATAAGCAGTTGACACAGTTTGTTCAGTTTGGCAGGAGTTTTTCTGTTAGGCACTAATAATTAATATGGAATGCATACC